TGAAAGCGTGGCAAAGGCAAAAATTGTACGCAAGAAAACGAAATACGCTTTTTCTGGACCGCGTCAAATCGAAACCTCGAAAAAGTCTGTATAAGAAGATAATTGAGCGCGTGCTATGGATGATGCAACTTGTTACTGATGGATACATTCGGTGAGTCATAGTTATTGGCACGTTGAACAATTTGATGGAACTGAATAGTAAAACGATGGAAAAATTTCAATGTTTAGATCGATTGCGGTTAGTCGAGGAACTAATCTACAGACTTTCGGGTCACAAATTATTAGAAAAGGAGACCTAAAATTTTGTATAACAATATTCTTCTTAAAACAACAAACCTAATATCACTTTCCATTATCTAAAATGATAATTTAGATTGCACTTCTGTATCAAATTTTGGCGCCCAAGGCAAAACGCTTTAAATTTACCTCGCAGTAAATGACTTATTAAGAACCTCTGGTTCGCGTAATCGTAGATTCGAGACCTCGAACGAATAATGCCAATTACCACGGTGAGTACCAGAGTCTAACGAAACGATCCGCGGCTGTCGGATTGGTATTGATTGATATTCGTAGCTGCATATTGAACTTGATCTCGCAGCTAGTCACGAGTGGTCGTGGCTAACAGCGTTCGTCGTCGTCGTTGCAACTTGCAACGTCTTCTGTGCATTATGCTCATTCAAGGCAACGGTCCAGCGGTGACGTAATTTCCCTGATAGGTTTCGTTGGATTTATATGTGGCCACGTATACGAGCCTGTCCAGAAACGTTATAGCGTGGTATGGATCCGCATTCAAGGGAAGAGCGAGTCGGTGTAAGCCGGTTTCAGATGGATCCGAGTCTACCAACCGAAATAGACCATGAGGCGAGCTCTCTCTTCGCAAAACTCTGTCAGGAATTTGGCATACAGATCGAACATCGTCGATACACCAAATTCGTCTCTCACCGTTACTCTACGAAGAGAGTAAAATTGGTTGATACTGCAAGAATTAATTCCGAGGAAATTTTACTTTGTTACAGTTGACTGCTCAGTTCTCTTAACGGGTTTTTAGAGTACAAAAAGGTCCTCCTCCCGCCCTCCCGCCCCCCCCCCCATTGGTTACGCGGAATTCACGCAAACGGGACGTTAAAAGTAGTCGAACCACTCGGCAAGTAGCTTTGTAAACATTCTAATTTATTCGTGGGCACGCTGGAACCGACTGGAACCAACAATCGACACGATGAAATCAAAAAGAACGACTCGAACATTTAGATGACAAAATAAATCTACTTTAATAGCTCGTTTAGAATTCAAATGTCTACACTCTGTTTCAGCTGGAATTAAATAAATGAATCGAGAAACAGCAGACAGAAGAGAGGATCTCTGGAAAAGTTCAGTTAACGACGTGGTAATTATCTACACTGATTCCAAGAGTTTCCATTAGTCGGTTCGAGTAAAATTCTGCCCGTTTCTGGAATTTTCCAACGCCTCGAGTCTCAGAATTTTTTCAACTTTCGCTGATCGAGGAAGTCAAGGAAGATAATCGTCTCTCTTCAGGGTGAACGGGAGCAGCCGCGAATCAGTTGACGAGCTCAAGGTCTACGAGAAACTACATGGCCGCATTGGAGGTATAAAAGTTGCCCCATAAAATGCGTTTTCAAGATGGTACCACTCGTGAGTGGTAATTTATGAGGAAAATCCAGAGGAAACCTTGACCAACAGTACTGTAGTGTATACAGTATTATTGAGAATAAACGTATTAGTAGAAGAAGTAGGAACGATGTCGAAGAGTACTCTATGGATACCACACGTGGTCACTCGCGAATCGCTGTACCTCAGTTGATCCCCCGGAGCTAAACTCAGAAACTGCGCAGTTCGCTGGTAAAGTTAGGATAAATTCAAGCACAATATGTGGGTAGGGTTACCTTGCCACGGCGGAACGTGTGATATATTAACGCAGCATTTCGCCTATGTCAAGGACGACCCACCCAACGCACGAGTATCTCCCTGGAGATCATTACCATAGGATATTTACGCTACTAATTATGAAAACGGTCCGAGCAAAAGATGGGTTTTGGTGAAATTAAATTTATCGCCCGTGTTTAACGTCGATCCACATTGCGATGTCACACGATACGTATTAGGTAAACACATTAAAAAAATTAGCGTCGACAAAATTTTGTACACGTGCAATTCCCTTAACTTTAACAAATTCTAATACCGGTATTCACGCGAAATGTCGCGATAATCAATTTTCACGGTGACTATATCGAACATTCTCAAATCTGACACCTTTCGTAATTTCCTTTAATGCAACGTGTAGAAAGCACTAATTTGCCACTGAGACCGATTAAAATTCAAATAAAAGAGCACGATGGTCAGAAAAGTGGAACAAAAATACTTTCCCTGGCTTCGAGATGAACGTTAAACAATTCGTTACAAAAATAGCGTAGATATTATCGTAAATCGTGGCGAGAATAGCCTCTCGCGTGGTATCAAAGTGTCGAGACACAATTTTTCCACAAGTATCCTTTTCCACGCAGTAAAGGAAGTAATGATCTCCGGTCTAAGCCTCCATAAGATCAGCGAATGCTGTAATCGGTTGTGCGTCAACCCGATATGTAACTTAAATGGTGCATCGCCTTTATTACGCCACGTGTTTTGTCTTCGAAACCGGTATTCTCAGAAACACAACTTCGCAGTAGTGCACACAATGGAAAGTTTGTGGCACTGCTGGAAGCAACATGTTGATAGCATAACAATTTTAATAGATTTTCACCTTGACTAAACGACGCGTTAGAAAGAAAAGGAAAACAAGGCGTTAAGAGTCGATTACATTGGAAATTGTACAAAGAAGTTTTCTTTAGAAACTTTAGAAGAAGGAAAATAAATGGGTGTTTTGAAGAGCAGGTGCAAAACTTCCAGTACTTTCGACATGTTACAAATAATGAACTACAACTCTGTCACGTTGGTTGTAATCGATACTACGATAGGCATCTGGTTTTAATCGTTAACTTTATCTCTCCTGCGTATCGCGTGTCAGCGGTGTCGTCGGTCAAATTGTCTGAAATCGAAGACGATACGTGGCACTGTCTGTCATAATAGTCGCGATCAACATGCTCGTTTCAATGAGAACTTTCCAGCCGAACTAGCTCGTTACCGATACCCTTTCCCCGATCGATGAGCAATTAATTAAACAAATCTATTCCTGTACCTTGGAAGCAATTACTTTCTATTTTATAGTATAAACTAATTTTATTTTTTGTAGGTATATATCTAACAATTTTCTTTAATACACGCTAGGGGACACGCTTAACCAGCGATATTGCTATGCGAGTGAGTGCTCCTTAAACGTCGAAGGAAACATAAGTATGTATCGAGAATGATTCAAGAACGTCCGTCAGCGTGGAATAATTTGACCAAGGTTGCCTCAGGTCCATGACGCGTATTGTCAACATGACGACCAAGATGGATTATTTATTTACGTCGAACACAGAAGGTCGACGAATCATCCTGCAAATGTAAATATTGCTGAATCCGAACGAATAGGAAAGAATTTCGATGAGTGCGTGCAAACGGTGAAAGTTTCGCTGCGCTAAAATTTCTCTTCCATACGGTCAATTAACTTCCTCGATGCTGAATTGTTTTCGTTTGGATAACCAAAGTATTTTTCACACTGTTTTCTGACAATGTACACGCGAGTGTTTAATAACCGTTATTTTTAAACTTTTTGAAAGCCCTGTGTCCTATTTTAATTTATTAGTCCCTACCGCAATACTGATTGCTTGTATAATATAAATGACTCGATAATTAAAGTCCAAGTGATGATTATTTGAAAATGAATCGCGAGATTGATCAAGTAGCGGAAAGGTTAAGCAAAACGGATGAACGCAACGTTCGAAAGGTGGGAAAATGAGGTAGCGAAAAGTCGATTGGGTTTTCGCGTGTCTCGAAGTTAAAATCGTACCTGCTCGTGCCGAGGGACTGAATTCAACTCGAACCACGGCAATTGCACGCGAGCAAACGATGCAAGCGGCTTCGACCACGTGCTGACAACGTGCGTAGGTGGCACGACCGATCGATTTAGCTTCGCTGTGAGCTAACTGTGAGATAATGGCCCGTTTCGCAATTGCCTTCGCAACTTGCATCTTTTAATAACGCGGAGATCGCACGAACCGCGAACGCGTTTCAATTTTTCCCCTCTCCCTGTTCGTCACGACTACGCGAACAATTTTACTTAATTAGTAAGAAACAGGGACGAAATAATAATTTAATTCTACTCTAGGAACTTCATCCTAAGTTTTCTTCTATTCTAAGGATTCTAATAGAGTTATCCTAAGGCTTTACTACACTTTGGCGTCGAATGACTTGAATACATCGTATCTAATCTAAAGTGTGTACATTTTCTGTTTTCTCACGATAGCGATCGTAAAAAAGGTATACTTTTCTTAGAGGATACCTCACCGCCTAATGCTATTCGTTACGTAATACATCTAACGCGAACGATGCATACCTACGAGCTGTAATCGGATCCGATTCGAATGCTGGTCAACAAAGTCGGCTACTGTTGCCGTGTCCGTTGCTTATTCGCGGTATCCGCTTAAACAAGCTTTTCTTCCATCGGTTTAATATAATTTGCGCAACCCTCCTGACCGCCAACACAACTGGCTAACAGGTTTTCCGAGCGACTCAAAGTCGTACACGGGTCATTCCACGTCGAATCGATCACTTTTCGCGGTCACGTTTTCCGGGGAAATTGAAATACGATCACCAACGATTATAGAATATCTCGAGTTTGTTACAAAAGTATACGTATCAAAAGCGAATTTAAAGAATATGCACGTATTCTTCTATTGGTAGGGTTCCTCTACCAATTAACGTTACTTCTGGGATGGATGTTTCATACTTGGTATAATAATCACCTGTGCACTCACACGTTCTTCGCCTCTCTATTTTTACGAGGACCTAGGCCTTCACAGTTCTACTTCGGCTACGATTAAGAAAAGCGAAAGATATCGATTTACCAGTCGGGAAAGAGTTCTGATGCCTCTGCTAGAATGTCCCGCAGCAGCGTGGTGGCAGGTGGAACATGAGGTAGAATCACAGGGGCGAAGACACCGCAGACGCCGGCGCCGCGACCATGCTTGGCCTCGTACTTGCTCAAGTAGATCGCCAGGTAGCCCAGCAACCGATAATGGGAAGCCGGTAGACTCGACAGTAGCTCTTTCGTCAAACCGATCCAGCGATTGCGATCGTTCGCGTAATTCTCTGCAAACGAGAAGAACCAGATGTATTCGCCATGACTATTTGCCAAATTGTGTTTCGAGACTGTTGAAGATTGGATAATTTAACATTTGTCGTAGTATTTAATTTGTTAACCTATCTTATTCATAAATCCTATTCAAATTCATTTCATTTATCGCTTTACTTTTGGAATTAATTTATTTAGATCCTTAATGAAAAGTTCTGGCATCTATCTCTGGGACCAACGTGTTAAGTGGTACCAACGCTTGCTCTAGAGTACTCTAGTCGTTCCTTCGACACGTTCGAATTCGATGTCGTTAACATGACAAATAGTTATCGCGATGTCTCGTTCCCGATCCGTCGCGTTTACATGCACGCACAGCGCGTGTTTCCTCGCGAGTACTCGGAATTATTTCGTCTAGCAAGGGGAGGATCGATGGTGAACTTTGATTTCATTAAAACTCCTATGGAATAACAGGTCTCCAGAAAAACCGTATACTCAGATTCCACATCACAGGTTTAAAAAAATAATTCCCTTTCCCCAAACAAACCGATTTCGAGGTACATTATTTTCGGAGAACAAACACGTGATAATTCAACGAGGTGGGCTTGCACGTGTAAAAATAAACGATAGCAAACCAATTCAGTCTTCACTGGAACCGGTACGTTAACGCCAGAATTCTGAATTTATGTATACAGCCATAAATTTGCGTGAGTTTAACTCAAAGGTTTTATTTACACAATTATCTTTACTCTTCGCAGATCTTTTCAATCTGTTTCTAAACGTTACTAGAGACTTGTTATTCCATTCTGTCGCTACCTCTGGCCACTCTATCCTCTCCCCGGTTGGACGGAACGATAATTTACGATAAACAAATGCTCACGGGTATGAACGGTCAGCAACCTGGCAACGATCGCCGATGGCACGACAGGTTGCGGCAATTCCTTGAGATACTGGCGCAAAAGCGTCGCCGCGGTCGCAGGACACGCAGCTGACTCCAAATCGGCATCTCCTCTTCTCTCGAAAGCCGCCCTCAGCCTTTCGGCCAGTCTCGGACTTCCCCCTGATAGACGGAACACTGCGGCGCTTTGAAATCCATTGGCCTCGATGTAACTGCACAAACGATACACCACGAACGGTACGCCCGTGTCGAGGTACGTTTCCACCAAATCCAGCCGTGCGCCAAAGATCTTTGTGGATCCGCTGTTGCGTCCCAGCAACGATACCGCCAGTACGCGTTTCACTTTCGCCAAACGGGACTCGTCCTTACAAATTCATTCAAGTATCGTCTAATGTGTAAATCGTAACTCGTGCAACGCGTTCAACTAAAATATCGCGCGACAGAGACAACAACTGATGCGAAAAACGCGACGAATTCGTCAGACAATAAATAGATAAAATTAAAAAAAAAAAAAAAAAAAAAAAAACAATGCTAAACTAATATGTAGATTGAAGAGGAATTACCTTTTCGAGTGCTTGACGGGAGCGCGTAGGGTGATGATGATGGTCTTGCTGAGGGCGTCTCATCCCACTTTGCCTACACCGCGACCCGCTGCCGCACTGATCAAACCGACAAACACCAGAGTTTTTCTCTACCCCCATTAAACGGACCACAGAACGGACAAACGAGCTTCTACTTTCACGACCGGTCGGCTCGTACTGGAAACAACGGCGTTTCGATTACTGATAGCGACGGGACTGGTGCGATACATATCGATGATAACAAGCTATTCGATACCAAAGTACTCGCAAAGGGAACAATCAACCTCTGATTTTAACCGTTGCAACTCCCGGGGGGAGGGAGAGCACTTCTTAGACAAGATTCACTACAGGCCGACGCATACATTTACTGCAATTTTACAAATAATAACCGAATAGCGGTTTGTTTCATTGATTAAAATACAGACTGTGATCAATTATTAATAGCATCGTACACTTGCAGAGATTAGTTTCAATAATTGTAATTCTAATTTTTTTTAAATAGATAACGAATCCTGTCTAAGAGACAGCGCGTGTCCCCAATTCTCTCGTCCCATACCAGTCGAAGTAAAATAAAATTACACGAGCATGGCCATGGTCCCATCACTAATTAATGACCGCCACGTGATTATGAAACTCATCCGTCGTTAATGTTTACATTTATGTCGGTATTTTAAACAATAAATTAATTGCAAAATAATGTCTCTTCCAATAAATGGTCGCATGAAAGAATTTTGCCCACCTCCGCGTTCATTAACGGCCGACGATCGCGTGACGAACAATGGGTATCCGCGACTCGAAGCTTTTTCAAGAGTGGCGAGCAATCGATAAACTTTCTACTGCGTCGTATCTCATAATACGGGAAGAACGGCGACGACGGCCGTTCCTCTAGATCGCATAAATAAAGCACCGAGTACGATGATCCCCTTTGTCCATCGGTCGGCGTTTACCGATGCTAGATCGCAATCGATTTAAAAACAGAGAAGAAATGGCACGCCCCGTATACCAAAAAATTCACACGGCAACACGTAATAAACACGCCATCAAAGTTTCCTATCCGCGCGATCGTTGGTTTACATGAAGAAAAAAAAAAAAAAAAAAAATACTTGAAAATTCCCTGTATGGAGCACGGAATTTTAGATAGAAAGAGAACTCACAATGCACTCCCTCGCGACCCTCCACAGGTTGAAACAAACGGAGTTCAGGCTGGCAGCTATCGCGCGCCGCACCTTCTGTAAGTTTGTTCTTCTAGTTGTCGTTGATTCGGGTGGTTGTTCTTAATTGTATGGCTTAAGTTGGAGTGAGTATCGAGCCAGGTGTTTCGATCCAACGAGGTTCCCTCGATAGATGTGTCCCTTCTTTTCCCTTCATACGTCACCGATCGCACTTCTTTCCAAGTAAAATCACGTTTCGTTGGGTTAACACGGTCGACGAGCTATCGAACCTCGATCACAGGGCGACGATAGATAAGAGGACATAGACTGTACGAATAGAGGGCAAGGAACGATGTGTGGGGAGGGGGTAAATGGTTCGCGGAAACCAGGATGACGGGGTCGCGAATATCTCGAACGAGGACGTCGGCGAAGAGAGGGTTCTTCGTCGACGACGTAGCCCGCGCACACGGAACCGCTCTAAAAAAGTTTATTCTTTTGTTTAAACTTCTAAGCCGACGCTGGCAACCGATACGACGTTAAAATGGAAACGTTTGACTCGATTAGTTTTGGGTTCATATCCCTATCGCGGCACATCGCATAGCGGGCCCTTTCTCTGAGGCGAAGGGCACTGCCTATGGCTGCTTCAGGAAGTGAGTCGACACCAGCCGTAGCGTAAGCATCGAGGGTCAGGACCGGGGATGAGTTTCAGGTCACCACTTCGCTCCTTGCCCTGGCATGGTCCACGTGCCTCCTCGAGCTTTTAACGCGCCTGTCTTCTGAAATCGAAACGAACAGGTCAGTCGAACGATACATTTCGCCGTACGGCATCTGCCTAATCCCCCATACAGGTTTATCGAGGTATCTAAGGATCGATGTAAAACAATGTAAATGTGATATGAAAAAGACTGGATAGTAGGTGCAATAGTCGATATAAAATAGATAACGTAACCTTGTAAAATAAAGAAACAAACCATCTACCTAAACTTTGGAAATCGCTATGTAAGGATTTCTTGGGGGGTTGCTTTCGACGAATCTGCATTGGGATATTCAACATTCAAAATGGCGGAGCTAATATGTTGATCTACCTCCTATTTTCTATATGAAACTAATTTATAGGTAAATTAATGTTTAAAAGTGTACTTTGATCTTTGAGACATCTCTTACTACACGTCAAACCTTTTACCAAAAACCGTAACGATTTAAGAAACCTCGTAGCGGTGCGATTTGGGAAGCCTTGCGGTGGTACAATTTATCACTTTCAGCGTCCCGACAAAAATAGGTTATGTCAACTATATACTTGACGCTGAACGTGTTAAGAAACCCTGCGACGGTATACGTGCTTAATTTTCATATTACAGTGATTATTTATTTACTTTATCCTCTTCGATGCATTGTCACATTATAAAACGTTCATTTTTCATGTCGATAATTTCCTACCAAATGTCAAAAGCCGACAAAATCACACGACTCGACGCCATTGTGCTTACTGACAAATGTCAGACAGTCGTGATTTCGTGACACACGAAAACGAAGTTTAACGATGACAGCGTTCAACTCGAAACAATTATCCGAAAGCCTGAATCTTAAATGGTTCGAAACACCCGCGATTAACGATTGGTTTCGAAAAGAATGTTCATAAATCTTACGTACTTGTAATCTCTTACTATCTTACCTATAATACATGGAATTTAGGATACGAAGTTATCCCTGTTCGATTGAATGAGAATCGAACGCGATTCGATAGAGGCGGTTGTTGCCGAGCAGGACATACGTGAACGTTTCCACGGTTCTGGAACTTTCCTCGACGCGGAACTACGCGGAACGCGAATCTCATTGGTCGTAGAAAAAATTTCGATTCGATAATCAGAGCAGACACTATCGTATTAAAATCGTTTACCTTACTCTTACCTCAAACATTCGTTATTTAAATCGTTCAATCGCGATTGATTTATCATTGCACATTGTTACAGATGTAGAAAACTCACAGTTGATACTACGGCTAGAATATGAATTATCTAAAATTAGAGTGTATCGAAAATGATGGGGACGAAGTAGTTAACGAGAAAAAGACGTTCTCTATGACCTTACTCTGTCTCTAAACTTCTCGTGACCTACGTGCAACGCGACACGTCGTTTCGGCATTGTTTACTTTCGGTCAAAGCGGAACGAATATAAGTCGATCGACCACCCAGTCCATGTTACCAACGCGACGCGTCTTGTCCGAAATAAACTTGAGAAAGCACGCGCGTATTCCAGGCAGAAGATGCGCGAATTGCTATTCGAATAACAGATGGCCGATAAAAACAGAGTACGGCGATTAATTGACCATGTCTAATCGATGGAACATATACGTGAATCGGTTCTGATTTTATTCAACATACATATAATTTCGTTGTACAATTAAAACTTTAATTTTCTCGCAGGGTTATTCAGGTAAAGTTTTGCCCATCTCCGACCACAGGCGTCTAGTTCTCCAATGTTCGAGAAGCGTATGGAAACCGGACAGAAGAAGCTATAGTAAAAGTTAAACGAATTTTCGTACTTTTCTAACATGGAAATTCAACTTACTGAATATTGTATTTCACAAGGAACGAACGAATACTTATCACGACAACGATTTACTTTCAGAAGTCGAATTACTTTCAGATTGCGATGTTAGCTTGAAAACGAAGTCGATTGACTTCCGAGAGGCTCTTACATTACTCGAATCAAATTACGCTCGTTTCTGGTAGAAGCATCTTCGTGTTTTGTGTCGATTACCACGCGACGAAGGGCAAACTGTGCGAACGAGAACCAGGCGAGAACGGAGAAACCGAAAATACGTAAACAAACCAGGTAGCCATTTCTCTTAACCTTGTAGCCATTCGCGGGTATTTCCGTGTAATCACGAGATGTGACGTAGAATCGAAAGAAAGATCTGAACGCACCGTTTTACAAAATCTAATTATGCGTATATACCTGAAGAAGACTGTGGTAATCATAACGATCGGAATGGAATTGTGCACTAGCGACCACATGAAGCGATACTGAGTTTCCACCACGATTCTTTCTGGATTCTCCCTTTCGTGTCCTCCCCTCCCCTCCCCGACCCGGTTAACCCCTTCGTCACTGTGTACCCGACGGCCCCTGTTCCCTGTCGTTGGTGAACGGAACACGACACAGCGCCTCTACCATGGCTGCGAACCTATATAATACCCCCTTGGCAGCAGATATCACGAGGACGAGGGCGCATGCACTACCTCCAAGAATCAATAGACTGTTCTGGTCACGTGAAGCATTCGCGCGAAGAGCAAGTCGGCGAATGACTGTACTGGATACTGGATCTGGATGGTGAGGGGTGAAGAAACCAAAGGAGACATGGACCTACAGAGTGGGCCAAGGAGGGAAAGGAGAGGGAGAGAAAGAACGAAGGACGAATGAAGGAAAAAGAGAGACTAACGGAAAAAGTAAGTTAGACTAAAGATGGTACAGCGAAAGATAAGTAACCGGAAAAGAGAAAACAAGTTAGAAAAGAGGAGAATCAAAGATTTTCTATTAAAAAAGAGATTATTATGAATATTTTCACGGTCCAGATTTGTTTACTTCATAGGGTTTAAGGCAATAGATAGTTTGGCATTTTGTAATCGAGATAGAACTTTTTCAAGGGGAATACGTGACCTTCAACTTTAAATCTTCCCTATAGGAGGGAACCGCAGCCCTTCTTTTTTACGGCATTCTCGAAACCCCATTGAGGCGACGAGTTCCATGAATGGAACTGCGACATCCCCTATCATTTCGCTTATTAGCATCTTTCTCCTACGTAGTATTATTTCCATTTCGACAAGAAATAAATGGTAAGTTAATTTCAGCACAGAGTCAACCTTCTTTAAAGATGCGAAGACGACCAGGGCAAAGTTACACGTTTCGTTTTGCATGCACGATCAATGTGAGACAACTTGGAATTCTTACGATCGTCAAGTTGACTCGCGGAATGTAAAAATTTTAATTATGAGAGCATTCCACAGTTGGTAAGATGGTAATATGTTATACAAACGGTCCGCATATCGCTATGTTGTGTCAACGAGAATAGAACATAGGCGTGCGATGACCTCTTGGCAGCAGTGCACTGGCATGATTGTTAAACGTACAGCAAAATTCTTATAGATTTTTTTCTCTATTCGAACGTTTTATTCAACCGAAAACATCCTTCATACACACCTGGAAACTAATCAAACAGGGCTTCGAGGACCCATCCTTAACAAATTGTGAAATTAAGAAAGGACTAGTTACCTCTGCACGCTTTACGGAACTTATGCTATACGTATCCAAACATTTTTAACCGACTTTGCGAAAGGAGGAGGTTACTCAATTCGACACGTATATATATTTTTTAATATACTATTCGAACGGAATTTGTGTATCAAACTACTCGAATAGAAGAAATCATGTTTCTTACATTCGTATCGGAACGTTTAATCAATTAAACGAAACGCGTACAGAGGAAGAATAAATGTGTAAGGTACGAGCATGTAAACATACGTGGCATACAGAGGAAAATACATAATTTAGAATGTTCAGATCGCATAAAGTTCAACATACCACTTGATACGACCAATTCCTCTGATTCGCTCGTATTACTGTTTTCGTTTTCTTTAAAGCTCGCGAATGACTCGAAGGTGACGAACGTCAACAGAAACGAACTCCATCACTGCGAATTAACGTTTCACCGACAACTGCACTAACGTAACACAAAGTGTGGAAAATAAACGGTTTACCGATCGATAAAATTTACGTTTACACCACTAACTAATGCATGCGAATGTACAAACTCGTAGTGTAAGTATCCGTCGAACACAATTATTTGCTTTGGAATCTATATCGCAGGACGCGAAGCGAGTTAAACTATTTGAAAACACGAATTAGGAAGCACTCTCGAGTAATTTAAGGACGACTCTTTCGTATTCTTGCATACAACATATACCGGCACCGAAGCAGGATACGCCATATTAGTTATGTTTAAAGGGAATCGATTCGACGACTCGGTGATACAACGGCGTTCTAGGTAACATACTTACCGACGGGGTCTACAAGTTTGTCTCATCCGCATACGGTCAAACAATTAGCTTTGTTGCTTTATTATTGGGGTAAATACAATTTTTAACAATTTACTTAGATAAATCTTACAATAACGATGATTATATGTTACTTCTATCTACTCGTGAAATAAGAAATATTTACTGGATCACGTCTTTGTTATAACTAGTGGTTCACATGTCAGGTGCTATATAATATAAAATTATTTAGTGATTTATTAATTGATCATAGTATAATAATGATCAAAAACATATTACCTGTCTGTTTTGAATGCGAAAATATAGGAACATTTATATTTTTATACGAAAAACATTGGCGTATCATTCATTTGCAAGTTCATATACTTTCGCTGCTCCTCTTGTAGATTATTTATATTCAAGGGAATACTGTAAATACATAAAATGTTTACAAGTAATCAATGGTATCTTAATATACGTTTACCTTTTAATTAAGCATCTATATACATAAACTGAGAACTTACTCGTGTATCAACGCTCTGGCTCTGAAGGCAGCTAAATGAGCGTAATAGGTAGGAGCAGGATAACTAACGGATCTCGTGCAACGTGCAAACATATGACAAAGGTAATAGGTTAGCTGTTCAATTTCGTCTTCAGACATCCCAATCTCATTGCATATACATCTGTATTTTGTGGGTCTGGCGGTACCCTATACAAAAAAAAAGTAGAATGAATAAATTGAATTGAACTGTATGACTAATCATTGTATGATTTGCACTAACAAATTCTTGAAATTTATACCGCATCTACGATACGAATATATCGTAGAAACCATGGAATAAACAAACATTAAGTTTGTCAACGTACTTGAATGCTAGCATGTGATACAAGGTAGAAATCTATGTGTGTTGGATGTGTGATGTCTGTATCCACAATGGTACCCGCTTGCACGTTGAAATTCCTATCATCAGAATTTTTTTTGTCGGTAGGAAAGAGTCGTATATGATGCCTCTTTTGAACCACGAGGAACATAATATTAATCTTATGATCACCCTTTTCTAAACGCGCAATAGCCCTTCTTATTGCGGATAATTCAAAATGCATCACTTGAGGAAGTTGTCCTTCGCTTACGCCGTCTCTGCACATGCGTGAAAAGAAAATGTTTATCTAATTTATTTTGTGTATCAAACTGTAAATTGGCAATTTACTAAATTTTAATTAAATTTTAACTGCAATCAATTGTTCAATCGATTCAATCATATTTACCGATAAAAGATTATGTTCATAGGTTTACGTTTCGTTTGCTGATAGAAGAAATATAATTGGTTGATCATAATCTGTTCAAGATCTGCAATTATTTCTTCTCTTGGTGCCTGAAGTCTTAGCTCAATCTTATATTGGAAAGCACTGGCATCGTAACTGGCAGCAACCTGCCCCGTAACAATATTGATTAACAAACGTACCCATTAAAGAAGATTAAATATTTCTCAAAAGTATAATTAAAGATAATTGTTACAGCGGCGATTGATGGTATATCTGTAGCATCCGGAGATGGATGAGTGACATCCGCACCAACTAACATGCACGGTTTGGTTAAGCACAGCGGACTATAACAAATAATATTTTATACCTAGTACTGTGGTACTGTGAGCAATGGATTATAAAATACTTGTTAGAAGATAACATTACCGATATGTAGGAGCAAACGTATGATTAACACCGTTAAGTTTTGAATTAATCTTCAGCAAAATATTTGTGATTGTTGCATCAGATAATTTTTTTAAAGTTTGAGCCTTCAAACATTGAGTTACTATACCGCCCATTATTTTTATTTCAGAAATTTGTTTTACTACACCTAGAAATATTACATTGTTCGAAAATGTTTCTGAAGTCGAACGAATTATCATAGTGTTACTTACTGTACGCGTTGTCAAAGTTTGGAATGATTACCACTACCAATTTTAGTTTTTGTTGCTTTTTTTCTTCAAAGAACCGCAATATTTGGGTAATATTTTTACCTCTGATAGCTAAGTTCGTAAATGGTGTTAAGGCTTTTCCAATACTCATGTTGACGAATTGACCTGAAGCAGAACATAGAGAGAAACTATTAATTTAATTATCGTATTACGATACATGACTTGAAACACTGGATGGTCCATATACGTGTTGATCCGTAATATGAAACATACTAACCACCAGACTGTAATTTATCGTGTAATGTATACAAATCACGATCCTTAACGTAACCGTCTAAATTTAAAATAGTCCATGAATCTGGTTCTAATTGGCATGATTTACAAAATTTATCTGCGCGCCATACTCCTTTCATTACATTAACTTGTCTTTCCAGATACTTTAATTTGGGAGCATCTAGAACTCTAGCTGGTACTTTTTCAAATTCCCCAGTCACCGAAAGGTTGAATTCTTTCGTTAAAGTTGGTTGTTGATTTAATCTCATATTCGCAAACTGAAAATGCGTGGATAATTAATGTAACTAAAAATATACTACTCTTAACGTTCATGTACGTAAAAGTACTTACACCCCTCATAATCTTGTCTTTACGTGTGTTGGTATTAGTCGCTGCTTCTCGAATCATTTTCGAAGTCTGACTTTCATCCATTTTCTTTTGCGTGACTTGTCCAGCTATGATGGTACATAACTATGAAATATAGATAAAAATTAAATGATGTATCTCGTAATACTAACATTAACTAAAAATACTGTACAACTACCTCTACGGGTAAGTGTATCTTCTTGTTATTGGTTCGGGCTACCCAAAGGCATGGTAAGTCAGGATATCGCAACTTATATTTTTTTGTTTCTTCAAAATATTTTTCAACTGTACACACAGTACCATCGTCCAAAGTAAATTTATTTGTCCTTGGACACTCGACTAATCCACTGACACGGTACGTTCTTTTAGAACGAGGTTGGCCAGGAATTTCGTATTGAACTTTTAATCCTTTTAAGAATTTCGATATCTTATCAGAATTATACTGTATATCTCTTGGAGTTATGTGTTGAAGTGGTTCATAATTTCTTCCTTTACAAAGGTCCTTCATCAAATCAATAACTGGCTGAGGTGTAGGAAATCCTTTGTGTGCAACTAATTAAAAAAAAAAAAAAAAAAACAACAGCAAAAATAACAAAAAAGACTCAATAATGTTTGAAAAATAACCTAATGTCATACCATCTAAATTCAAGTAAGGTCTCCATCCAACTATGGCAGATTGAAATACTCCAACCCACAAATCCAAGCCATTTGTTAATGAAACAACTCTGCCTGGTTCTGGTTGAGCAAACAGTGATCTACCAACCTGTTTAAAGATTAATATTTACTATGACTGCATGGTACACTAATACAATTACATACCATTGAAGTTAATAAATTGTGCAAGACTATCAGTAATCAAATAAAAAAAAAAATTGAATTATGTTAACTGTTTGTTTCTTCTAGATAAATAAACAATCTTTTAATCCAAACATGTACATTATTAATATTCTAAATCATCTTACTGGAATAAAGTGGTTTGATGATCCATGACGTAGGATAATATCCAAAGCCTGTATACCTTGTTGCTCCTTATGTAAGTCGACTAGGCCATACCTTATACTTTTTAACCACGAGAGATTAACTAATGCAGCTTTTTTCATATACATTTTAAAAACTCTATCTTCATGACGTTCATGGTCAAAAACTGTTATGTCGTCCTGTTTCTATATGAAAGAATATTAAATGTATGTCAGAAAATAATATAATCACTTTATATAAGGAATAGTAAGGATAATAATAAATTATTAAATGTTCACTTACACTGTGATCACCAAAAGGAAGATCACCTGCACTATACGCATTTCTTTTCCCATCAAATGCTGGATATCTGTTTGGAAAATGCTTACTGCGGTATGCCTCAAAAACACGCCTCATTAAAAATTTTGGTCTATCTGGTTCAATAAGCACATCATAGTGGACAACATTTTCTTTGAAGTTAGAATTAAATACTATTTTAAACATATTCGTTTCCACAGTGATTCGTCTGCCATCTACTCCTCCACCAGGCCCACTTCTCTTTGGTATTTGATTAATATACATATCTTGCATTGCAAATGGTACAATAGTTTTTCCACCAACCTTCTTCACAGTTGTAGTATCCTAAATAAAACAAAAAATTCAATATTTCCCAGCACCTGTCTTTGTAGTAAAACTTATATTATAGGATTATGAAGCAACAATGGTTGTACCTTTCTATGTAAATATATGTGTTACCTTTTTCAATGCAATCATTTCAACAGGTTGACTTGATTCCGATAAACTTAATTGTTCTAAAGTTGCTTTCTGCTGCCATGAGCCAGCAGGAGGTTGCTGTTGTTGCCCTG